GGCAACAAATGAGATATAAAAAATCACTCATATTGGATCAATCATTCACCTTCCATGTTTGAACTATTTTAGTTGTCAATTAAAGATCTTTCACATCAAACTTTATGCTTTTTTTATTTCTCGATTCATATTTTAGGGCCAAAAATTCTCTTCAAATTACCCCACTATCCTGTGTTATGTGTCGGTACAAAGTAAGTTATTTTGGGCCACAAAGTTCAGACAAATTAGGCAATTTACAAAAAAATATCCTTAAAGTTAGACATCTTTTGAAAGATCACATGAAAAGTATTTTTAAATTAAAAAATACTATGTAAAATTAAATAGTTTTTTTAATATAAAAAAATGACACAATGTCAATTTTTAAAGTTAAGTCTCACTTTTTTTTATTAAAAAATGACATACGATGTCACTTTTATTAAAAAATATTGTTTATCACCTAAAAAAGTGATAGAATAACAGAAAAAAGTGACAAACACTAAGTCCTTGTTTGATCTCCATTATTTTTAAAATACATTTTTCCTCTCTTATTTTCAACCATACATTTTTCAATAAAATAATATTACACATAAATTCAAAAAAATTTCTTATTTTTTAACCACACATTCTCCATCAAATTACTATTCCAAAATGCATTATTAGCGAAAAAAAATGGGGCTCAAACAAGTTCTTAAAAAAGTGACAACAATTCTTAAAAAGACAAATACTAAGGTGGATTTTCCATCTTCTCCACTTACGTCAAGGCGGGTTTTGACAGTATATATTACGGGACTAAAACCCTCCAAAAATAACAAATTAGAATAATACCCTAAAAGTGATGTTACTTTTATTAAAATTAATTCTCACTTTTTTTAATTAAAAAAATGACATACAGTGTCACTTTTATTAAAATTTGACTTTTATCACCTAAAAAGTGATAGAAAAAAAGTGACAAATACTAAAAAAATGACAAAAATTCCAAAAGAAAAAAGTGATAGAATTTTTTTTTTAAAGTGACAAAAAAAAAAAA